TGACCCTGGGGGGGCGAGGGTGAAAGGGCGTGAAGTAGTTTTTGGTTAAAAAGTTGTCCCCTTTGACAAATCTTTTGACGTGTCTAGGTGGTTTTTCATTTAATCAGTGGTTTTCAATAAATCCGTTGGAGCAAGTTTTCAAATAATGAATAAGTTTGTGGAATTGTGCTGCACCAAAATCTCAAATTATACCCAATAATCCAAGTAGTAGTCATTGAACTTGATATTTATGATAGACAGGTTGATTTAGAAGCTATGAAAACAACATTAATGTCTTGCATAATTGCATGAAAATTGAAAGTCATATTTTTGTCCTTAATCTTTGATAGGTTCGTTTTTCTTGTAGGTGCGAGTTAGAATTTTCTTTATTTTCGGTGAGAAAAAGAGAGGGAAGTTTTTCCATCTTACAAGATCTGTTTGATTTTGAAGGAAATCTCTTAACGCTACCCTAGCGCATCGTAACCTAGCCCACCTAGCAAAGTAGTGGTATAAGCTTTTGGTAAAAGAACCGTTCAGCCATAAAAGTTCTCTATGGTTGTTGCCTGAACACCAAAATGCTGGCTTAATGTTGTGTGGAATGCAAATTTGCTTTCTGCAACATATTTGCTCTAAAATGATGTGTTTAAAATGTTCTTATAGCATAGTTATACAACACCTTATAGGGCAAATTTTTAACTGTTGCATAAACGTTTATACAACTATTTTATACGGCATATTTGCAAGTTAGTCAAAATGGTTGTGTTGTGGCATCCATGGTAACGTTTATAAAACAAACGCGAGCCTTGTTGTTTTGCTGTGCAATTTACTACTTTAGCCAACAAATTGCTCCCAACGGAAGCACTTATACAACTGTTGTTTAGTAACTGTTAAAGGCTGTACATATGCTAAATATGTTGGTAAACAACTTCACCATAACCTAACTTTCTGCTGTCATATTTTTGTTAAAATGCCATAACCAATGTTTTAAGACAAACAACGCATGCATATTGGTTCAAAAGGTTTTATCAACTGTTCAAACAGAAGATATAGATCTGGTACAAATTCTGGGTAAATCATTCGACTCTGTCAGTATTTCATTTCAGATATTTGTCAAATTGTTGTATAACACCTGCAGGCATCACCAAAATATTCTAATAACCTAAAGACAACATGGACGATGCTATGATTCTACACAACCACCCCCCATATTGGGCAAAGATTTATTCCTCTATTTAATATTAAATAATTATGTTTCATTTCGAAATTACAGATATAAAGTGATAAAATTAGTGTAATTGTGTCTAAATATAGGATTTGTGGAAGATTTAACGCAGATAAGTTCAGTATTCCATCTTAAAAATCTTTCATTGTCAAAATATGAATCAAATACGAAGCCCGTAGAAATTGGGTAACTAATTTGCACGATAATCACAATAAAATTTGCTGCGCAAGTAATTCAATAGCCCTATATCACAATGTAGAAGTTATCATATACCTGTGTATGAAATTCACAATGGCCGATATGTAAGTAAACAAGATGACTGTATTGTGTTAGTTATATATTCTTCACTTCGTCTATACAATACATAAGAAATGGTTTGGTTTCAATAAAGTAGAATCACGTAACAGAATAGTTGTATAGTTGACAAAAACTGAATCTTGCACTGAGGCAAATGTCCTATAGCGGCTGCAAGAGGCTTACACTTTTGTTTAATAACTGTTACCTGCAGCCCTTATACAACCTCTTAAATGACTGAAGTCTCCTATTAGGTGTGCCCATTCCGCTTGTATAGCTGTTCTAAGAGGGTTTTGCCAATGTTCTTACAGTATACAATGCTGTTTAAGGAATACTGTATAATCATTCTTGCAACTCTAATATGAGTGATAATTGTTAGTTGGTCTTCTTAAAAAATGGATCGAGTAGATTATGTCAGAGTTGTTTTCCATGTAATTGCGCGCACGGCGATAAGCATTTCATTTCATTTTCACAGAATCCCCGATATAATGTTGTTCCGTATCTTATAGGACGCCCCATCGTAAATGTGAAAAATATAAGAAATCAAACATTTATTTAAAACTCGAAAAGGAAATTGTTGTTTTACTACCATATATTGTCTCTTTGGTTAGCCTTTTTTTGGACAAGTTATGATACATATATACAGGGTGGGCCATAAAGATGTTGGCAATTTCAATATTCAATTAAAAAATAACTGTGCAATATAAAAGAAAAAAATGTATCTTTAAAAAGTAGAAAGATAAGAATTTTTAAAACTTAAAAATAATTTTGTTCAAATGACTTCCTTCGGCTGCTTGGCACTCTTGAAACCGAAGCTGTAGATTTTGGGAAACTCGTTGACAAGTTGTTCTCGATGTTTTGTTACTTTCCTGAACTATACTAAGTGACATATAAATCCGAACACCCAGTTTAAATGGTTTTATTTTAATAAAATTTTGTATAAGTACTTAATGAAGCATAATAAGTAAATGATAAAAATTTCAAAATGATTGCACTGCTTTAAAGCCCTTTGACCTTTAATAATCTGTGGATGCACCCTGATGTGCTACGCATTCTCCAACGCGCCTAGGCATGCTTCTGATCAGGTGGTCAATGTCCTCCTGTGGTATCTCATTCCAGGCAACCACCGACTCCTCTCGAAGTGCTTCTAGAGTCTGAGGAGGACGTTGCAAATTGAGCAATCTCCCACCCATCATATCCCACACGTGCTCAATTAGGGATAAGTCGGGAGATCTTGGTGGCCATGGTAACAATGTGACATCATTATGTTGAAAGAAGTCTATTGTGACTCTTGTAACATGTGGTCGGGCATTATCTTGTTGGAAAGTTGGATCTGCCAGGGTGTCAATATAGGGTAAAAGATGGGGTTCTAGAACTTCGTGGATATAACGCTGCGCGTTCATGTTACCTCTGATGAAGATTAAAGGTGACCTGGAACCATAAGCTATAGCAACCCAAATCATAACTCCAACAGTGTGATGAACATGTCTTTCAACAAAAAACTGTGGATTCCCCCTTTCACCACGTCGCCTTCTAACTCTGGCACGACCATCGTGCATGCCTAAACAAAATCGAGACTCGTCACTAAAGACAATACTGTTCCATTCCTGATCCCAGAGTGACCGTTGTCTGCACCACTCAAGGCGATTACGTCGGTGTTCTCGAGTTAAAGGGAGGACCCAGTGTGGCCGTTATGAAAACAAGCCAAAACTTCTCATTCGTCGGTAAACACTTCGCATGCCAATAGGTCTTCCGTGTTCTGCAAACCATTCATTTGCAATGGACCTGGTAGTGGAGAAACGGTCCCTTAAGGCCAATAATCTTAGGCGGCGATCTTCACGGTCTGTTGTTCTACGGCGGCGTCCAGTGCCCCTTGCTCTTTGCGTACGGCCTTCTCGAAGCCATGCCTGACAACACCTAACCACAGTGTCTACACTTCTTTGCACTCTAACTGCAATTGCCCGAAAAGAAAGTCCAGCTTCCCGAAGTCACACTATACGGCCCCTATCAAACTCACAAAGTTGACGAAATCGTACAGGTCTCCGTACTCTAGGCATCGTACCCGATCGTAAAGGATGTCAAGAACCAAAATCCGCCAACGTTGATTCTTTACTGCGGCTGAAATATTCATTTTTAGAGCGTTAGTGAATTAAAAAAAAGCAGTATAAAAACCGGAATGTCCAACTGATAAGGCTGAAAAATTTTTCACTTGTTATTTACAGTAAGATAAATACATTTACCAACTTTTATTAAAATAAAACCATTTAAACTGGGTGTTCGGATTTATATGTCACTTAGTATATATTCCTTTACAGCTGCTCGAAATTAGTTGGATTATTCTCGTAGCGTAGACCATCGATTTGAGGTAGCGCCATAGGAAATAATCGCGAGGAGAAAGATCGGGGCTACGTGGTGTCCATTCAATATCCCCCCTTTTCGAAATGAGTTTTCCGGAAAGCTCTATAGATACCCTAGCTGTATGAGATGTGGCCCCATATTGTTGAAACCACATTCAAGAGGTTTTGGAGTTCTTGCAAAGCTGGCACCAAAAAGTCTGTTATCAGATTGCAATAATTGTTAGCTTTAACTGTCATCGCTTGCTCTCTTTCGTCCTCCAAAAAGTACGGTCCAATATTACCGGTTGACGTAATTCCAGCCCTCACGACTAGTTTGGGGCTGTGAATTGGACTTTTATTAAAGCGTCGAGGATTAGTTTCGGACCAAAACCGTCAATTTTGTTTGTTAACATGGCCATTGAGGTGCAAATTGGCCTCATCACTAAACATCACGTTGTTTAAGCTGTTGAATCGGTCGAGCATCAAATTGACAAAGTTATGTCGGTTATTGCCATCAGCTGGTTTTAATTCTTGGGCTAGTTGAATCTTATAAGACTTCAAATGCAAATCACGCTTCAAAATTCGCCGCAAGCTCGTTCTTTTGATGTCCAAAACCTGACTTCTCTGACGTGTTGACTGTTGCGGATTTCGCTGAACTGAAACACGAATACGCTCTACATTGTCGGCTGATCTTGCAGAAACTGGTCGACCACGAGCTGTTACTGCTACTATCGAGCCGGTTGTTTCGAACATTCTGATCCATTTCCGTATCACGTTCGCGCTTGGAACTTCTCTTAAATCGCTTAAACCATGTTCATACAAACATCGTGCGTTAATAATATTATTTTCATAATACGCTTTGGCACAAAATGCACGCTGCGCTGCATGGCGACTAAATTTCCAAGCAGCGGCACGGCTAACACCTTATCCCCCAACCCGCGCCCCGCTTTTCCGAGAAATTTAAGATTTAAATCGCCAACACTCTTATAGCCCACCCTGAACTTTAATTTAAAAATGGTGAATCCATATCGCCCAACTATTTAAGATACACATACAAAGAACAAATCAAACAGACGTTTTTGGTTTCAAAAACCATAAATGATTTTATTTGTCGTTAGATACTGTAATTATCAACTGAATTATTATTGTTATTGAATTCTTTGTTACAGGTGTAGAAGAGACAATAGAATTAGTAAAAGGAATAGGTGGTAAGGCCTATGGATTCAAATGTGATATTGCTGACACAAAATCTGTGTATAGTGTAGCTAAGCAAACTCAAAAAGAAGTAGGTGATGTAAGTATTGCATAAAACCTTTCTATACATTTCTATATTCTTTTGGAACATAACATAGTTAACCAGGGGGAAACCAGCCTCCCACAAGCCCACTATTCCCCGTATCAAACTCGCTAAGCTGTTGAAAATTTTCGGCCTTCTAACTCCAGACATAATAAACAGATTAAGGCAGATCCTCGCAACGTATTACACGATGGTCAAATGTCAATTGTAGCTACAAAACACAACTATCACTTAATTACTTTTTGTAATAGCAGACCATAATCCAAAAACCACTTTATCGATATATTTGAAAAGATGATTGTTTTGTGTCCTGACCTAGACAAACATATACCTAGAAAATATTTGTAATTAATTCATTATTGCTGAGTGTTATTTTTTTACATCACTTAGTATCTCAGCCTCATCTGTACGTTTGTCAGTCTCAATCGTATTCTTTTTATTCTTTTTTCTTAACAAATTTTAAATTTACCTTACTTTTAGGTAACTATTTTAATTAACAATGCAGGAGTCGTGTCAGGCCAACTACTGCTTGATACGCCCGATCATCTCATAAGGAGGACATTCGATGTCAACATAATAGCTCATTTTTGGGTGAGTAAAAAGTTACTGACACGTGAAACATCTTAAATTGATTTAAACTTCTAAGTCAAATCGCTTGTTATACGTATGTTTTCGGCATCGTTTCGTCTAAATTAAGAATGTGCAAACAACGAACGACTTTTTAAAAAAGCGACTTTATTTAACAGAAGACGAATGAGTACTGGTCACCTTGGTTTACATGCATCTCTTACTTATAACCTACGCTAGAACAAAGGAATTGAAAAGTGCAAACCTAAGCAACTCTACATATTAGATCATCATCATAGCAGTGCCGTAATTCCTCCCTCTTCAAGAAGATTGAACCTCCTGGTTCAAAGGAAAAATCTGGTTAAGTTCAATGTCATTTTTGACTGATTGATTTTTTGGTTCTTTTTGCTTCAAAAGAGAGAGCAATTGTTTTTTTAAACAAAGTATAATTACAACAAATGTTAAAATACATAAAATAGTTACAATGCTAAACGTGGACGTTTTGTGTGAAAAATCTAAATTTTTTAATTTATCGTGTAATAAAACATTATTCAATTGTATGTCCGAATAACCCTTTACATCAGTATTTTCAAATAACATATTCTTATCATAGTTCACCATAATGTTAGGTATGTATAAAGGTTTCGAAATATCAGAAATCTTCAAATACTCAGTATGATCAATAAATGTTTTACAGTTTAAGCTGATAATAAAAGACGAATCAATTTCTTTTCTTTCTTTGGTACAATCTTCATATACTGGAATATTCTTGTTAGTATTCACTAAATAGTTATCATGTTTTAATTGAATTACTTCTGAAAATGAACCTTTTGCCAAGAATGTACAATTTTCAACTTTAAGTAAGTTACAACTGGAATGGATTAGTATAGTACAGTAAAAATATTTATTACTCAATAATTTGCATTCATCACAAAAATGTATAGTTTCATTTTCGATAATATTTTTATGTTTCAATACCAGAATATTATTTTGGTGTATAATGGGGTATATATTGGAATATATAAAGTTACCAGTAACTGTTGGTATGTGAAGAACAAATATGATTTCTTCTTCGAGGACTATAATACTTAATTCACATAATTCGAAAAATTCAAAATTGTGCAGTTTATCAAGTGGGAGAAGTTCATTTTTGTCAAATAGATCACTTAATAACGAATGGATATAATTAATTTCAGTCTTACTCAGCTGTAAGAGATTTATGCCCTGATTTGTGCTCAGGTTAATGGTTAACAGTAAGTGTGATAAATAATTAGAAAATCTTTGAATAATTATTATCTCATTCAAGACATACTGAGAATTAGCGTATTCGCTATGCAATTTGTTGAGGTTATCCAAATTATCTCTCAAATTTTTCTTTATAATTAAAGTGTTATTTTCAAACCTGTCTTGTAATTGTTTTGCTACAGAGACGGTTCGGGAATTTTGTAATGATAAATTATCTTGATTTTCCTTCAGAATTTTCATATTTTCCATTATTTCGTCTAGATCAGATTGATCTAAATTGCCTGAAATATATTTTATGACGGAACCAAGACCATTAAATAATCCACGCTTAACTCGTTTAAATTTTAACATTTCATATTTGTCTAAAAGCAAATTGTATTCATGTTCAAGTTGTGTTATCAACGTATCATCTATTCTTTGTTTTGCAAAATAGACATTTGACGTTATTTGCTTGATATTTTCATTAATGAGAGTGAGATTTATATGAAAAAATGTCTTATGGTACGCTTTTAGTAGATAGGCGTTACCTAGCTCTTGCTTAAAATATGGTGCTTTATTCTCGATCAGCTGGATCTCTAGGCCGGCTAGTTGAAGGGCCTGGATTAGGATCCTGAAAGTTAGAAATTTTGCGTTGCGGTTTCACTCTATTCAGTCTATGCTTTTTTCCTTTAGTGCGCAAATTAATATGGACATTTTCTTGTTCGTAAGAGGTCTCTTTAGAATACAGGGGTTTTGTTTTATGTGAACGATCTAATGCAGATTTAAGATATACTGGACCTTCTAAGGTTGGAATTTCCTTATTTCGATTTTGATTAATTTTTTCTAGTCTTTCCGTTGCCTTATCTAGTACACGGTTCGATAGTTCTTCATAAAAAGGTAGTAATTCTCTGTACCGTTTCTCGTTATATTCATCATATAATTTTGTGGGGGTATCGATCAAATGCTTATTCAAATCGTCGTAAGGACCGTATAATAATGAAAATGGGGTATATGTGGTCGTAGAATGGACACTTTGGTTATAAATTAAGATAGCTGTCGTCATTAGATCAATAATCGAATCGATTTTATTTTGCTGACGTAAAATTTTGAGTTTTTCTTTCAAGGTACTATGAAATCTTTCAAGAGGTGATAATGATGAGGGGTTACCTACACTAGTAACATGACATTCAATTTTGTGCATATTACAGAATTCTTTTATAACTTTTGTGTTAAGTTCACCAGGATCAAAAGTTATTTTGTCAGGATAATTGTGATGGGAAAAGAAGTGTCTGATTTTGTTTAATATTTCGTTAGATAATTTTGATTTTAAATTGTAGGCCTGGGCATATTTACTAAATAAATCAACAAATGTTAAAAATATTTGTTGTTCGACTTGAAAAATATCTAGAAATATATGTTCAAATGGTCTTTTGGCTATTAGAGGTCCTTCCATAGGGAGTTCGATTGGTCGTCTTTCGTATTTTGATGTCAAACAAGTATTGCACTGATTAATGTAATTTGATATTATTTTTTTCATATTTGGAGTGAATGCTTTTTTCTTGAAATGGCTGTAAGTTTCATTGATACCATTATGCGTTTGGCTATGATAGAAAGACAATTGTTCTGTAAATGAGTCTTTTAGTAGGTATATAGGCTTATAAGAAGCTTTAACAAATCTTATACCGCTGTTCGAAAAATACTGTTCTAAAAGTTCGTTAAGTTTAAATTCTAAAAGTTGATTTTCATACCAAATACCATAAGTATGATCGGGCTGAAGATATTCCTTCATGAATTTCAAAAGTTGCTCTGTTTCAGATCCACTTCGGACTGTTACCATTAAAGTTCCATTGCAAGACTTTGTTATTTTGTACTGATTTTTTAACTGAAAATGTATTCGATTTTTGAAAAAATAAAAATTCTTTTCTTGATACAATATATGATTGATAGGATTTTGTGCAGATGAATGTCGAGTAACATCAGATTGCTCAACAATTTTGAGTCGTTCATCTAACGGCATTTCATCTAATAAATCAATTAAAGGTAAATTATCTTCATTCAAGATTTCATCAAGTTCTTGGGTTGTTAACTCTTCTACAGAATCTACTTGTGGTAAAATGGATAAAAGATCGTCATCCTCTAAAGCGTTAATTTCAATTCTACTGAGCGCATCGGCTACAACATTGTCTTTGCCTTTTTTTATATTTAATTGAAAAATTATATTCTTCTAACTGAAGCTTCCATCTAATCAATCGCTGATTGGGCACTGATAAAGAACTCAACCAAACTAGGGGCTTGTGATCACATTCGATTAGAAAATTTTGACCAAATAAATAAGGACGGAATTTTTTACAAGAATCAACTATTGCCAATAGTTCTTTTTCAATAACGCTGTAATTGCGTTCAGCAGAATTTAATGTTCGAGAGTGGAAAGCAATAGGCTTATCATTTTGACTAAGAACTCCTGATAGGGCTATATTGCTACAATCAGTTGTCAATGTAAATTTTTTGGAAAAATCAGGATAAGCCAGAATAGGTGGGTTACAAAGAGCTTCTTTACAAAGTTTAAATGCATTGATATAATCTGGATTATTGATATTGATTTTTTCATCTTTACGTAAACATTTTGTGAATGGCTTAGTCAATTGTGCAAATCCTTTAATAAATTTACGATAATAGTTCATGAGGCCTAAAAATGACTGGATTTCTTTAATCGTAGTCGGGAGAGGATATTCTTGAATTACTTTGATTTTATCTGGGTTTGGAAGTATGCCTTGTGGCGTGATGACATGACCTAAGAATGGAACATCTTTTCTCAGGAACTCAGATTTGTCCAGTTGGATTTTTAAATTAAACTGATTCAGTTTTTGGAATATTTTTCGAAGATGCAAAATGTGTTCGTCTAGGGATTTTGAAAAAACAATGATATCATCCATATAGACAAAACAAAAAACGTTGATATATTCTAACAATACAGTATTCATCATACGTTGAAAGGTAGCAGGGGCATTTTTTAACCCAAATGGCATACGGACATATTCATAGTGGCCATTTTCAACAGTAAAAGCCGTTTTTTCTATAGACTCAGGATCCATAGGGATCTGGTGGAACCCTTGTGCCAAATCAATAGTAGAAAAATACATGCTTTTGCCTAAATTTTCCAAAATTTCTTCAATTAGTGGGAGTGGAAATTTATCTTCAATTGTTATTTCATTCAGTTTTCTGAAATCAATAACCATCCTATATTTTTTAACACCGGATGCATCCATTTTCTTAGGAACTATCCAGCAGGGTGATTGATAGGGTGAATTGCTTTGTCGAATGATTCCATCATTTAATAACTTGGAAACCTGATTTTGGATTTCCTTTTTGAGATGATAAGGATATCGATAATTTTTTACATAAATTGGGTCTTCATTTTTTAACCTAATTTTGTGTGCAGTGGCATTACAGGGAGTTAATGGTTCGTTAGGCTTGAAAAATACCTGTTTGAATTGCTTGCAGAGCTTAATAATCTTTCCTTTTTCTTCAATATTCATATGAGACGTACGAATTAAATTTTCAACACGTATATTGGATTTTTCAGTAGAAAATGGAGATTCTTTTTCAATTAGAAAATCATCAAGAGGTTCAGATAAAAATGGGTTGGAAACATCAAGAAGATTTATGTCAATTGGATATTGAATAGCATTATTTTCTACGTTACAAATACATTCAGGAAAATATTCGTCAGAATTTTTGAATTTCAAAGGTGGAATAACAACAGAACCATTATCCAAATTTCGGATAATTAATGATTTTTTCGGGTAACTATACTGAACTGGATTGTTTTCTCGAATTGGCTTAAAAGAAGTGTTATAAGTAATTTTACATTTATCAGTAATAATCTGATGTTTAGTCAAATCAATAGAGCAATTAAGCTTTTGTAAATCATAGAATCCTAATAAGCAGTCATAACGTGAATGCCAAGGAAGAATTAAAAATTCAATTTCAGTTTTATTCTTCCATTCAGAAAATATGGGAATTTTACAGGCATATTGACCTCTAAAATTGGACGTACATGAATTAATTTCAAAAGGATGATCATAAATACGATCTGGAAAATATTTAAAAGCAATTTCTGGATTGATCAGGGAGGATGATGCACCAGTATCGATTAAGATGATAAGATTAAACTGAGAACAAAAAATATACGGAAGGTGGGTTTTTTGATAATTATTTATATCTAAGTCAAATTTTGAGACTGGCTCGTCGAAGGAAAATTTTCTTCGTCATTGTTTTCAAAATAAGATTCATCGGGGATATAGTCTGAATCGAAATCTTGGGTATATTCCTCAGATTCATATTGTGGCGTTCCTGCAAAAGTTTGTTCTTCCTCATTTTCAAGATGAGTAATTTCTTCGACATAATAATGGTTTGGTTTGGGACCTACTTGAAAGGCATTAACTCTAGTGGGCATTTGTTGACGATATGGGTTTTGCTGGGGTTTCGGTGTGCGTGCTGTAGATACAGACATAGGTATAGGATTACTTTTTTGTTGACCTGGAATGGGTTTTTTGGAAAAAACATTCTGTGGTGGTCTGAAAGCTTGAATGTTTGTAGGGTAATGAGGTTTAAAATTTTGTTTAGGTGGTGGTAGTTGCGTGGGACCTGTAGGGAAGGTTTGTTGTGGCTCTAGCCAAGTTTGACTATTTTGGGCTCTAAACTGATTGGGCTTTTGAGAAAAATTAAAATTAGACCTTTGGAAATTTTGATTTGAAGCTTGTACTTTATTCTGAGACTGAGGCTGTTGTCGTTTATATAGGCTCGTTCTTAAGAAATTTTTATAATCAACTTGCATTTGCAAATTATCATAATCACGACAATATTGAACACAAGAATCAATTGTAGTAGGATTTTGCTGTCTTACATAAGACCTATATGGTTCATTCAAACCAGAGATAAAGGAGCTCAAAGACTGTCTATCATAGTCTCTCAATTTAAAAGCGATATGATCGGGATTATCATGGTATTCTAAATTTGCAAATTCTTTCAGGCTCTGTACCTTAAATTTAATTTCTTGATAAAAATCTTCATATTTTTGGTTAGGTTTCTGAACTGACGTATATAAGGCGGTGAGAAGAGTTTCTTCATTTCTAGGATCTTTATATTTGGATAATAATAATGATTTTAAATCTGGCCAGGTTCTCGGACTAGTTAGATGCACTAAATCTCTTACTTCGCTTTTCAGCTGAGAAATAACGTATTGGAAAGCATACGAAACAAAAGGTGTATTAACAAATTCTGCAATAAACTTTTCTGAATTATCCAAAAAATAAATTAGATCTCTGTGACCTCCATGATATTCTGGTACCATATACTTAGCTACATTGAATTTAATTTGTAAATCTTGAAGAGACATGGTTGACTGATTAAAATTAAGACGTGAGGGTGTCAAAATAACTTGTCTAACAGGTGTATTTTCGACTACAGATTCAAATTCAGAATCGGACATTAAATATATGCAATTAAAGTCACTAAATAAGTTTACTTATAGATAACTTTTACGAATATATATAAATGTAAAGCAATAGAGGGCGAAAAAGTTTCGAGAAATAAATGGAAATATCACTGAGTACAGCAAAAATTGTAAATGTTGTTTCTTACGCTACACTGGGCACTAGCAGCTTCATTTGGAGAGATCTGAGATACCTCCTTGGGCCAATACAGCTCCTCCTGGTTGACAGCTTGCCTGCCGTGGATCCAGCACCTCGCTCCTGTCAGTTCCTGTCGTTTTCTCAAGTGTCGTTGCCTGCTCCCAAAATACTTAGCAAGTATTTCGGCCTGGTACTTCGATGGTGATGTGCCTGCTCGGTGTAGCCTTCGAAGTTCTTTGTGATCGACGTCAAAACGATTGAAATCGTACCCGAACACACCGGACGATTTTTTGCACTTTTTCGGTCTCGATTGAGCGATACTCGTGAATCAATACCGCCGATTATCGATTCGGTACGCCGATATCCTGTTCGCAGCGCCAATTAAGAATGTGCAAACAACGAACGACTTTTTAAAAAAGCGACTTTATTTAACAGAAGACGAATGAGTACTGGTCACCTTGGTTTACATGCATCTCTTACTTATAACCTACGCTAGAACAAAGGAATTGAAAAGTGCAAACCTAAGCAACTCTACATATTAGATCATCATCATAGCAGTGCCGTAATTTCTATGTTAAGGTTTAACACTTGTTTCTGCCCGTTTTTTTTGCATGCGAACTTGAATAAAGGTACTTTATTACTATTATTATGGTTCATCATTGTTATTATTATTATATACAATTCTCTATTTTCCAACAGATTATTAACAAGAATTTGGCATGGTGCCACATGTACATTAAACATGGTCTAGCTTTGTAAGTAAGAAATAAGCATATATTTTTTTATCTTCCAGACTGTGAAAGCATTTCTACCAAAGATGATAGAGAAAGGCCAGGGTCACATAGTGACGGTAGCCTCCATGGCAGGCTACGTTGGAATTAGCAAATTGGTAGATTACTGTGCCAGTAAATTCGCAGCTGTTGGATTCGATGAAGCACTTAGAGTAGAACTGGAGCAACAGGTTTGTACAGTGACCCAATAAAACGATTTAATTTGCTAGCACCGTAATTACATTTTGAAAATTCACAGCAATTTTAGATTTACTTTCAGCTGATGATCACTATTACATTTAGTATGTTATCTTTCCTTCTCTCTCTCTCTTTCTCTCTCTCTCTTTGAAAATAGTAGTTTCCACAACACGTAATCTTTTGCGTTATCAACAGGGTATCAAAGATGTGAAGACAACTGTAGTGTCTCCTTACTTCATCCAGCAAACAGGGATGTTTGAGAATGTCAGAAGCCGATTTTTTCCAACGCTAAACAGCAATCAAGTAGCTGACCGAATAGTGGAAGCGCTTGTCAGAGAGGAATATGTAGTGATGTTACCAACGATCTTCAAGTACTTGACCGTACTTAAAGCGTAAGTTTCCGTTCCTCAAAATTGTTGATCTTAACTTGCTAAGGCTCATACACATCATTTTGGATCCAAGATGACAGATGACACAAAATGCATGCCTGTAGATGTAATATACTGCAGCGTTTTTTCTGGGTGTGGATTAAAAATACTCGATTCCAAAAGAAGAAATGCACTAATTTATATAAAACACAATACAACTAACTGTAACTCAGCTAGATAGAACATTTATGTACACCACTATTTATGTTTGACTTACGAATTATTATGTCGCGTCATTCACTCAACTCTGCTTCCCTCTCCCGGCCGTCGGCTTAAAAATTCCGCATCGCTGGTACTCGTTGATTCAAGAAAGTTCCGGTACGCCACATAGAGGCCAGTCCAGAACCTTCGAGGTCACTCTCGATTATTTTATTCGCTTATAAAAACAGGAGATGAGAACCTAAATTTTGCTCTCGAAGGTCCGGTAATATTTTGAGGTTTTCTACCTAAACTGGGTGCGTAGATTCTGGTCACATCCGTATGTCGAGGACTACCAAGGCTCTAAAGACCATAGTTCCTGAAGCAACAAAACTGCGTATTTTCGCGATCAATAATAGGAAGTTAACATATAGGAATGATATTGTTTCAGGATGGTACCATGGTCAGCAATGGCGTTATTCATCGCAAACTTCATCCCTGATCCCAGCCCACACAACCAAGGCAATCCTGTCGTTCAAGTGAAAAACGCTGATGAGAAAATCAAGCCAGTTAAGAACAACAGCAACAGTATTTTGTCATCGTCTGTGACACAACTGAACAAACGTTTGGTGTTGACTGGGAAGGACCTTTGACGGTATTTTGTTTATATGTTATTGTATATAAGTTCTGAGGTTTTTATAAATAAGACACGTTAATAAACTGTTTTCCATGATGTGTGTTCATATTAATTTCTTATTCGAAGGTTTATAAGATATCAAGGGCGTGTTCAGGATTTCGTCTAAAGGGGGGGGGGGGGGGGCGCAAACGATAGTTGAGGCTGGTCATTTTTTAACCACAGTGGGACTTCTAGAATTTATTCTATTATCCTGTTATTGCTCCTTAAATCCATTGTCAAAAAGTAAAGTAATAAGTACGTGGCATTTATAATTAACTAGTGTAATAATATTAAAGATTCAAACATGAAAAACTTCATTGCTCTGTTAACCGACAAAAAATAAATAAAACATTCTGAGGGACCCCAAGACATATCCCAGTCCATTCCACACAAAGCAATGTCTTTGATTGCGAAAACGAACATGAGACCAAAAAATTCACATTATCGTATGGACGCTAGACGACAAAGAAGGATGTCTGTAGACCAGCTTAGATCGTGTCTTGAGACCCGTCTCCAGACTACCTATAGACAAATTGCGCAACGGGATCTACTAGTATGTAATAAGCTTAAGGATTAAGACTCTGAACTGTCCATTAAACAAATCAAGTAAGTGGTGCAAATACTGACACAATCAAGCACTTATATTATATCAGCAGCATGAGGCATGTATTCCTCCATTCTGACGTAGATAATTTCGGATATCGAAGAACAGACAGACGATGCATCCGCGTCACTTGTACGAGAAGAAGTCGTATGCTGGATACAACAACTTCCGGAACAAGCATTTGCCACGGCCCCGCTCAGTAGGGGTTGGGGTTTTTGAAATCCAATATAGATGTTAGGGGAGACCGAGGAGAGTTGAAACAATTTTCACATAATGGCACATAACTTCATAAATAAGTGGTAGCCTACAAAGTTTAATATACCACATGAAACCTTGCTTACTTGGCTAATGAATAATCAAAATAAAATACGTCACGGTCTACTTCATTTTCAAAAAAATCGATTATAAGCCGACCATTAATTTTGTTGCAATTCTCCTCTTGCTGAGGGAAATTGAAACGCTGACCTAGGAGAGTTGGAACACAAATATTTGGAAGGTTTCTTGTACCTTATTTGTCAGTGAAGACAACATTGAGATCTTAAAATAAAAAACAACATAAAATATAAAATAAAATAAAAAAGAATAATAAGCGCAACAAAGAACAAAGAAAATCCTATTCAGAGAAGCAATTATGGCACACGTAGAACAAGTCGCCTTTTGTACAGGCCAAATGAGCCCATGACTTGCATTCTATACACTGAATCCATTTTTCCTTTGGGACACTTTGGGAAAACGGCTCCATACAAACTACGCAGCAGCAGTTATCATCGTCACTGTCACTACTTTCTTTCTCACTTATTTTTCCTTTATTCTTACAATTCCTCCTTGTTTTGCTAACGGATTTCTTAGTTTTATTTTATAGGTTTAACGCAGGTCTTTTTACTCTTTTAGTGTTTCTCCTAGCTTCAATGGCTTCTAGCTCATTTTTTACAGGAGTGTCAGTTAATTAGCTGACTTTATCTTTCTCCTTTTTTGCGTATTCTTCCTATCCTCTGCCTTCGGTAAAGGTCTTATTGCTTCCGGAGAAAATACACTGACTGCAGTAGTTACAGTAGATGTATTTGAAGTTGAAGAAACCTCACTAATGGCTGCCGACGTAATAGATATCTTCGAAGTTGATGGCACAGGATAAAGTGAATCAGGGGTAGGAGCATCGTCTTGATTTGGAGACAAAATTGTGGGAGTGCATGATACTTCTGCATTTGCATTAGTATTAGAAACAGTGGGATTATAATAGAGTGAATCATTCATCGGTGGGCTTGGAGTTCGTTCGGCTTCTCTGCTGGTCCTTGGAACTTCAGGATCATCAGTTTGAACAACGGAATCTTCGTGTACAAGTTATGTTGGTGGCAGTGCTCGAACGGTCACCTGACTGGGCAAAAACTCCTCTTCACGAAATATTTCAGTGTTCAATGGCCATATCCCGGTCGTCCGGAATCCTGCAGTTACATTTTTTATGGTGACTGCTATATCAAAGGCAGTTTTGACAATTCCTGGAATGTCATATATTGTCATTACTTTTCCTGGGTGTGAACGCATCCAGTTATCGCATGTTGTATTGATTGCTTTTTTTACAGGGCCAAAGATAGTTCGGTCCATAGGCTGAAGTTTGTGCGTGCAATGTGGTGGAAACGTCAACAGAACGATTCCATTTTCCTTGCAAAAGTTGATGTTTTTGACAGCGGTATGCGAAGCATGATTATCTAGTAATAACAAAACTGGATTTTCTCTGGAAGATCGGACGTGATTCTTGAAGTGCTCTATAAAGCAATAAAAATCATCTTCTTGCATCCATCCAGAACTATTGGCTGTTCCAATGGACCCACTTGGACCATCACGAATAAAGTGGTCGTTAAAACGCTTACGGGGAAATATGAACATTGGTGGAATGCAATTACCTATAGCATTGCCAGCTAATGCTAGAGTGACTAAACTACCTCTTTCTGCAGACGTCATGGCGCTGACTTGGTTTTGACCTCGTCGTGCAATAACACGATCAGGCTTTTGGACAGTAGTTATGCCTGTTTCATCAACATTCCAGATGTCTTTTGCTTCCATATGATATTTGTCAAGTATCGAACAATAATTTTTAAAAAACAGTTCCACGTTGGTTCTATTGAAACTGTCGCTCGAGCAATACTTGTCGCTTGTGAAAGTCTCAAAGACAAAAATTCGTGGCGTTTCATGAACAATCTGAGCCAAACTTCACCAGCCATTGTGGTTTGCATCCAAGAAGAAGGGCACTTTTTGTCATATGCCACAGCAAGCTTATACGCAAGTTTTCTTGCTTCTTTTGTACTCAACCCAAAATTGGCATCAGAGCAGGTCAAAACGTATTCACACAATGATTTTTCTTCCTCTTTGGTAAACACTGTGGGGCGATGATATCCAATTGAGGGTAGTTGGATGGTCTTATTGCTCTCATACGCTTGTTTTTTATTAATGTATCTGTAAAGCGACGTATGGTTTATATCATAACTTGTGGCAGCATCACGAAGAGATTTATTACGTAGCATCACTTCTTCGGAAGCCAGTTCGTAAATTCCTTTGCTTGCCATACCCCGATTCGTCTTTCGCTTGTATTCGTTCGGCATCCTAAAACAAAAAGAGCATAAGACAGACTTCAGGCATACTGATAAAATTCAAAATCGTATATAAAAAGTCAATTGCAAAATTGAACGCAAACGAGGTAAGTTGAAACAGGCTGTTTCAACTTTCCTGGAGTACAAAAATCTGCCGCCATTATGGTTGAGCTGGTGTTACCTCGTTGTGCAATACAGTGTTACAAAAACATTGCTACAGACTGAATCTTGAATGATTAAGCTTTCAGAAAACATACAACACATTCTAATAAAACAGTATATAAATCACAATATTGATAAAGTTAAAATATGACAAAAACTTACTTTTGTTAAATTTTTCACATCACATTTGATAACGATGTAAGCGTGGACTGGAGAGCGGTAATGAAACCTTTACTTGTGTGCAGGTGGCAGCAGAGGCAAATAAGCGTTGTTGCCAGCTCCATAACGTCTTTGGTTTCCACAAAAATTCTGTTGTTTCAACTTACCGATGTTTCAACCCTCTTCGGTCTCCCCTACTGTTATTTTTCAGAATTTCGTTGTCAAACTTGGATTTACGGCATAGTTGTTTTCTCAGTTTTCGAACCGGTGTTGATCGCATGTAGAAATGTTGGAAATCCTTGGAAAAAACTACATCTGTTAGATCGTGATTATTTTGATAATGTATGTTTGTACTAAACAAGTACAGGAATACAGGGCTGTATATATTCACGTATAGTGCAGCAGCACTGTGATTTAAACGAATTAAATATAGCAACATAAACACATACGCGAGAAGAGATGCGGGACGTGTGGTATTGATTTTGAGCATCGATCGACGCAGTTTCTAGACAGGCCATAGGCGCACCGCTAAAAAAATCTCATAAATGTCTATTTCCAATTTAGGCATTCATCTTACATAGTGCTTCACTGCAATACCAACCCCGAACAAAATCAGTCAAGCTTTACACATACTTTTCAAATTGCTATTGAGCAACAAACAGAACATAAATCACTTTTAAGTGCAATCTGTATAGCTAATATGTTACCCAGACTTAGATTTGTCACAAGTCACAATACTCGTATATATGTATAAATCGTAAGAGTTGTGCTGTAAACAAGTGATGTGAAAGAGCATTCGGAATACCAAAGGATAGCAAAAAATCATAATATTTCTATAGCTATAACTTATAGTTAGTATGCCTCTGTTACCATGATGTGACAGAATTTAACACAATGGTGTTAGATTGCAAAAGCACGCGCAACGTCTAACACATTTGCCTTAAAACTAATGATAGAGAAACGTTTTCGATCCGCCTACTCCTGCTATCTAACCCCACCGCCCGGCGAGCCGGTCCACCTGGCCAACCGTACTGCAGTGCAAAAACATATACACGGGTACAGGGACCATGCACGAAATGAACGATAATCTGCTGTAACGCTGCCGCGCAGGTGTGGGAAGAGACCTTGTTTGCCAGTTTTCAGATGTGTCGCTTAATCATATCCCCCTCTCATTTTTTTTTTTTCTATCGCTGGCACTAGCTTGATGAACTGCTCTCTAGCAATTTCCAAAGGAAGTTTTAAACTAATTGTTTTAATACTCATTTTTGCTTCCAAAAGACTGATTTCTTATTAATGTTTCGATAAAATCCATAAAACAAAGCTTTCAGATGCTTATTTTAAATAATAATTCAATTCGGTTGCCATTTCATCAGTCCCACATATTAATTCTTTCCTGGTAAGAAACAAATATTTTGTGTAAGTTTTGGGTTATACCGATTGGTATTGATACATATGGAAAGTACACATAGTGTTTCAAATTGGATCCTCACCATTGGAATCTAGGAAACTGTAAGAGATACGAACTCGCTTAAATGAGGACAAAGTTGCATCTTTAGGTAATGAACAAGATGCCGCTTAGAAAGCTTCGGAATTCAAAGTACTGCCAGAGAGAGACGGAAAAACCCGAAATTTCCAAAATCGTTTTAACTTTTTTCTGACTTTATTTTTTCTTAAGGATACCATATTGGATTTTTGCGCAGATGAATAGAATTCTGAAAATGTATAGCGAGTCATACATTGACACTTCCAAAATTTAGTTTCCTACCTAAGAATTTCCTAGGTAGGCCTTAAAATTACCAGTCATTTGTTTCGCATACCAGATTTATTCCAAAAACACTTTTTTATTTCCCGACTTTATTTGAAATGGGATTTCAAAATAAATTACATGTTGTCGTTGTTACTTATCCTCCTTTACAAGATGGCGTAGTCAAATTTTCAATTCGACATTTCTTCTGTCGATTTCTATCATCTACATTGTTTTTTCATATGGACACTGTACTAGAATTTTAATAATAATAGTGATAATAATAATAAGCCTTTATTGCTAATAACAGAGCAATTTATAAAAATAAAAGTTATGCTAGAGGTACTTTCATGCGAACAAATCATAGGTATATGGTAAATGGTAAGTTTCAACTTAGAAAACGTGACTTATTCTTTATCTCATTAAAACTGTAACCAAAAATGTCACTGTCGTTGGCAATTCTATTGACATTATTACTCATTATATTAACTGGTGCTTTGCTCTTTGACATAAAATGGAACACTAGCGGGTGAAGCTAATCGTGGCACCAGAAATTATAACTGGGAGAGAATTTTGGGACAGTCTACTTGACAACAATTTATATAAAATCAGCACAGAAAATTTGTTCCGTCGCTGCTCTTAAGATTGAAAATAAAACATTTGTAAACGGTCGTTATAATCTGAATCTCCTGCAGGGTATATTCCATCAGTTTTGAAACTGAGAAACTTCAAAAATTTCTTCTAAATTTTATCAATAACATCAACATATTGTTTATAAGTAGAGCTCCATATAAGGGATCCATATTTAAGTTTTAACCTTATCAGGCTGAAAAATCAATGTACAGATATTGTCAAAGTACCTACAGATTCTTATTATGAAGCCATACGTTTTAGATGCACTAGAAATTATTTGGTTGATATGATCATTGAAGGTGAGTTCCCGGTCAAAGTAGGTGTAGACACCTAAATCTCTCACGGTCTCACAACGCTCCAATACGCAATCCTCCAGCGTGTAGTACCATATAGTCTCTCTAGAAAAAGTAAGTAGCTTACATTTAGGAAAAGGTTATTTTCACACCATCTTAGTACAATATTGATTTGTTCTTGTACCACAACGCAATCCTTTATCGAGGAAATAGTAGATAAAAACTTTAAACCGTCAGCAAATATCAACTTCAGACATTCCAAAGACGCACATACATCATTGACGGAAAGAATGAACAGTGGGTGTCCTAAGTTAGAGCCTTAAGGAACATCGCTGGTAGAAATGTAAACGTACGAATAGTATCATTGTAAAAAAACATGGTGTTTCCTTTCAGAAAGGTAGGAAGTCAAAATCACAATATAAGTGCTATTAAAACCTAATTATCGTAACTTACTAACCAATATATTGTTGTTAACCTTGTCAAAGGTTTTCGAAGAATCCATGTATCGTGTATACCACGTGAATCTGGCCTCTGTTATCCAATGTTTGTCATAAGTATATTGACTGAGCTCCATCAGATTAGTTAACGTTGAGCGCTGCCTCATAAAACCATGTTGATGGATCGAAATATGGTCTTGCATTGACAGATATACCTATTCGGTTATACAATATGATCTCCAAGAGTTTAGTAATCGCAAACTAAGTTATAATTCTTTGTTTTTGGAATTGGGCATTCCTTTGCAGCTTTCTATTAATCTGGGAAAACAGATATGTGTAAAATTAAGTTAAACATAATCTGCAAAGGAAATACCAATATTCTAATACAATCCTTGACCAAGAATGACGGAATTTGGTCAGGTCCTACAGTTTCCGATTAGCAGAACAAATTTCATCTATCGTAATTTGTTCACAACTAATATCAATTAGGGCATTATGATCACAATTAAAGCTATGATTGGCCTCGGTATTATCCGGTAACGAGTAAACACTAGAGAAAAAATCCGCAAAAGCGTCAACTATGCCTTGGGGATCGTTAATAGACTCATCACTGTAGATCATATTGTTAGGTATTCTCGTTGTCTTATTTTTACTATGGATAAAGGACCAGAAAGCCTTAGGTTCATCCTTCAAATGATCTTGCATTGATCGAAAATATATATCCTACGCCTCTATAGTTTTCTGTTTGAACACTCCTTGAAGCCTATTGAACTCTTGATAATGGGCAGGAAATCTATTCCGCTTGAACTTTTTAGGAGCTTTGTCTTTTTGTTCTACAATTTTAATCATTTCACTTGTATACCAAGATACTCTTGCTTAAAATTTTTGTACAGCGGAACATGCCCATGCAGTACCTCATCAAGCTTATTATAAAACATAGTGACCGCATTGTTAGCATCAGTAATATAAGTTTACTTCCAGTGTACATCCAACAGACCATTATTCAGGGTGTTTTCAAAGTTGAGTCATTTATTTTAACTGCTTGTAGGACTCGTCAAAAGGAGTTGATATACCAAAAATCACCTATATCGGGTGTTTCAGAACTATCGGATCAAACTTTTAAGTATAGGGACCCATATCCGGAAATGTGTCACTAAAAAATCGAAAATCGAACATACGTAGCCCGCGAAAATTGAAAATTTGCGATACTTTTTGAACTAACCTCGTATGTTCAATTTGAAGTCTGGTCTGGTATATGACACAAATGAAATAAATAAAGTTGATGCTGGAGGACAAGAGACGAAACATCATATTGAAATTCTAATTATTCCAAACGATTTTGGAAACATTCTATTTTTCCGTCTCCCTCCGGAAGTACTATGCATTTCGGAACTTTCTAAGCGGCACTTTGTTAGTTACCTGAATAGGCAACTTTGTCTCCACTTAAGCGACTTCGTATCTCTTACTGTTTCCGAGATCCCAATGATGCGGGTCGAATTTGAAGCACCCGGTATATACAAAACGTATTCGGCTATAGAGCTCCATGGGGTTGGCTATGTTATCTTAGCATAAAACGCGCTCTGGTGGAAAATCGCCGGATAATTGTGGATATGTAAAAAAACTACCCTGGCGTATTTAAAATAGGTCGGAGGTCTACGATACGAAAAGATCAAATTCAGCTTCACATCTCTTTTGCAAGCACTCTTATTACCGACAATTTAGTTGAAGAGATTAAATACTTAGAATAGTTAAAAAATACTGACCACTTAATATACTCGTAGAATAGAACAGGGTAGATGCAGGTGTTAAGGGAGGAACCCTCATAAGTTTGATAGGCGGAAAAATGAGAGGTGAGCCATTTCGTCTCATCAAAAAATATTTGGAGCATAGTTATCAACAAACATGGGCAGACCAGTTACTCTCCCACAAGTGAAATTCAAAATTTATGACTCAGAAAACCTTATGTGGGCCCTGTCGGTATTGTTTTACACACACCAGCCAACCTTGATCCCTAGTATAAATATTAGGCAACCAGTGAAGCGCATCTGAAATGAGGACTGTCGAATGACTTGCATTTTATTCCACATTTTCACAATTTATATATATCATTATATTAATTCCCTGAATATCATTATCAAAGATAACATTTATTTTTTTGTTTCGCAATTACCCCATAAAGAGAGATGAACAGAAGTTCGACCTCTTTTGTAAACACAATCGTTCATAAATTTTTTGAGTATCCAATTACCGAAGGTTTTGTCATTTGTCAATATTCAGCTGATCAACTGCTGATGAGAGTTGATAAATAGACGAACTTTAACCGGCATATAATATATTTGTATAACGTTCGTCTTTTCTCAAAAACGTCAGACTAAGTAAAATTATTCAAAAAATGACATCTAGGGCTATAGGGAGGATTTTGTTCTCCAATATTCAAAATAAAGCAACCTTGGCCAAATTAATCCAAAATGTTAGGCTGTACAGTGTACCTGCAGGTAAGGGAAACAAAAAATATACATCAGGAAAGTTTATTTCTTATTATAAAAAAATCTTACTAAATTTACATGTCATTCCTGTGTTATAAATGGATTTTGTATAGATTCCATTCCATCCATTGGGCATATAAGAACTACGCTAGTTCCCCTACACACAACTAAACCAAGTTCTCTTGTATCATCAGTCAACTTGTAAGGGTCATCCGGGTCTCTCAAATACTCTGAAGTATTATCCAACACCAAATTCAATAGGGGATCATAACCTTTAAGGACTCCACTTGCTTCTCTGCCACCAGCAAATTTCACCCTTATCGTCTTTTCGAGGTACTTTGAAAGATCTAGAATGGATTCTTTCCTCTTTTTCTCCTTCTGATCTCCACTTTGGTTGGTCTAAAAGTGTTTTCATCAAATAATCATTCACTAAAGAAAACAATCGCAATGTTACCTTATCACGTTTGTCTCCACTTGAAGCCATGTTCAATTTCAAACACCGCACACTATATTTATCTAATTAATAAGGCAAATTATCATACACATAATAATTATAAAAATGAATTATGATTTGGTTTTTAACATTAACTTGAAAAAAACATGACTTTTACGTTCGCGCCATATTGTTTTGCTACTTGTCAGATTTAACATTTTAATTGAAGTACCGCGTTCCGCACTCATCTTGAATATTTCCTATTTCTATAAATACCGGGGTAGATTGATAATTGCGACTTTGTGAAAACAATGTAATATAGTATACAATACAATACATATAGTTAATTTTTGCTTGAGCCTTATGATTAGATGAAATAAGCGAACAGTACCCATTCTGACATCTAAATCCAAACCTTATTCAATTGTTACAGAAAATTTTGAATTCATCAAAGTATCCAAAACTGGTGCCAACAACAATGTAGGAATTATCCAGCTCAACCGCCCAAAAGCATTGAATGCTTTATGCAATGGACTCATGACGGAAGTATCAAAAGCCTTAGATCATTTGGAGGCTGACAAATCAGTTGGTGCCATAATTATAACTGGAAGCGAAAAGGCATTTGCCGCTGGAGCGGATATCAAAGAGATGAAAGACAACAAATACTCTGATTGTATTTCTGGAAATTTCCTGGAACACTGGTCTAGAGTAGCTCAGACCTACAAACCGGTCATTGCTGCAGTTAATGGATATGCTGTGAGTAGTTCTTGTAACATATTTATGAATTTTTGAATCCCATCCAAATCCAAAATAGAGTGTAAACACAGACATACACTGTACGCATAATATCCAAAAATTGAAGAATTGGACAGGGTCGAAACCAGTACCGCCTTGCGAAGATCGATTAATACCAACATCTTTTAGAAACATATTTTCCTAATTAGGAATGGAATGCATTAGTTTGATCGTTTTCATTAGATTTTGAAATTTTGAACTATAAGCGCGACGCGACCACCTGATTGCAACTTGCTGTTCTGTGTTAGAGTTGGTCATGATGGGCCAAGCGCTAGATATCGAAGTCACCTCTTGCTAAGAGACGTGTTTGGTATGTTACACTCTATCTTGAATTTGAATATGGTTTTGGAAACTGATTTTGCGATAAAGTCATTGTATATACAGATGCATTTTTATATTCTTTCACTATATAATTGTCTTTGATATGTTGTATAGCTTGGTGGAGGATGCGAGCTAGCCATGATGTGTGACATTATCTATGCAGGAGATTCTGCCAAATTTGGACAGCCGGAAATATTAATTGGCACTATTCCCGGTGCCGGAGGCACTCAGAGATTGACGAGGTCTGTTGGAAAATCTAAAGCCATGGAGATAGTTTTGACAGGTAATGTGCATTTTATGATTTTGCTTCTTTACTAAGACCTAACGTAAAATTATTATAGAATTTTAAGCCACGTGTTATGATATCAAAAAGTTCCATAAATACAAAATTGAGTGATGAGGAAGTATTATAATCGCCAAAAATTTCATAAATGAGATATTACGTGTTTTGGATGTTATATGACGTTTACTTAAAGAAAAACCATGTCACTCAGTTCCGTCGGACTGTATATCGGTCTCTCTGTCCGCTAATCCTTGGCCCGTCTATAACATAGAAGATACCGGTCGGATTTTGATGACATTTTCACAAAAGGTTACTACTCTATGCCAAGGACGAAAAAGCTTTGTAGTTTTTGAAAATCGCTCCAGTGGCGGCGGAGAATAGGGCCAAAAATGAAAAAAATAAAAATCACTCAAACTTAATTTTTTGACGTTTCATAAAAAAAATAGTAAAAAAGACTCATTCAGAAAATTATCGTACATCTAGCTATTATCGTACATCATACTAAATTTAAAGTTACCATACAAAAACGATCATTATCGTATGTCTGGTAGCGTTATAGTATCATGGCTGGCGCTTATGGTGTGGTTTAGCATCGTTGTCAGATGGTCGATACTTTCGCTAGGACAGAAAAGAAATGTAGTTTTATCAAATGGGTGGAGATTATAATATAGTAAAATAAATAGAGTCTCGATACTTCCAAGGTGTAACAATAATATAAGCTAACTTCAAAAAATTCATAAATTTTAAAATTCTAGGGTGCCAGGTTCCCGCTGTTGAAGCTGAAAAGATGGGACTGGTCAGCAAAGTCTTCCCAGCTGACAAATTATTAGATGAGACCGTGAAACTAGCCGAAAAAATTGCAAGTAACTCTCAGTTAACGAACGCAATGGCTAAAGAAGCGGTGAATGTTGCATATGAAACTACCCTCAGGGAAGGACTGAGGTTTGAAAAGAGAATGTTCCACGGTACATTTGGTACAAAAGATCAAAAGGAAGGAATGGCTGCCTTCGCAGAAAAGAGGAAACCAAACTTTACGAATGAATAAATAAAAGTGCAATTATTCGATAAAAGACAATAAAACTTTATATTTTCACTAACCACTCAAAAAAGTACCTATAAACAAATAAAGCATTTATAAGATTACGAAAAATTGTCATTTTATATAGCCTTCACGATATCATGCCCAGGGTTTAGTTAATCCTTTCAGATAGTTGTGTTTTTCTTTTTCCAAATATGTCTTCTGCTCTTCAATATCTTTGGGAAATGACGTGTATCTATGCATAAATTCCATAATAATATAGTCATTTATCCTCAACCCAATAATTGGATCGATTTTTCTCATGAACCAGTTCAGCCAGTATCCTAGTATAAATACCGTATCAGTTTGTGTTTCATGTGTTGAATTCCTGAAAAGAGATTGCATGTATGAACATAAAACTGTACTGCTTATAATCGATTAAAAGTAATTAAGTGGCAGATACAATTATATGCCAACAATTTGAATATTTAGAGAGTAGAGGCATTGAATAACGTACTACAATTGAAGATAGCCAACCTAAAGCTACATACACCCGTCCAAAAAATTCAGAGGTAAAATAAGGTACCGAGGCATTATATTTGAGAACCATCTCAGCTGTTTCTCTATTTACTATACATACTATGAAAAGATTAGTGTCTCATAGACGTCAGTGTAGCCACTTGGTAGGCTTGTAGACGCTCATAGAGACAGCGCCTTATAAGAGACACTTACCTTCAAAAGTGTATATATATAGAAAAATAATGAGCAAAATCCGCAAAATGAAGGGAAGTGGCTTATTGACTTTATCAGGCCCGAAATGAATGCACATATGCAACTACTAAAGTAGACACACATGCCCAGACATCCGGATACGGGTGTAATCTGAGGGAACAAAGATGCAGAGGAACAAAACAACATACGAAGTCACCAACATATATATAGATGAAAAAACTGAATTGGGACCTCGACAATGTATTGCAAAGTGTACTCTTGAAACTTTATTCTCAAGCTTTTGTGGTGCATGAGACAAAAAAAACCTATTTTAAGTTTTTACTCTTTTTTAGAACATTTAGCACCTTTCTCAATTACTTTTCTCCTGAATATGATAATATAGTTTACCGAACGCTTGAGAATATAGTTTCAAGAGTGCACTTTGCAATTCTTTGTTGAGATCCCAATAAAGTTTTTTTTACCTAACTAGGTGTTGACGACAATGAATTCAGCCTACTATATATATATATAGAGAGAGAGAGAGAGATAGAGCTGTGACAAATTCTCATGGATGACGCTACGGTATCTCATTTTGTATCGGAAAATTTGTTTGATGTGCCAACATAGCCTTAGGTTAGTTATCTTCAGGTAGAATACGTTAATTAAAGATAACATCTAAAAATAAATTACAATCAGAATAAAATATTATAAAAATCCAAATGACGCTACAGTATTTTATATCGGGTAATTTTATGGACACGAGAATATAGCATTAGATTGACTACATTCAGCTAGAATATGTTATTCAATGCTAGAGGTTAACTACTCCAGCATCAAGAGACAGACCGACCCTCCTACATAGATACATAGGCGCGCCTTGGATAAACTCTCTTTCATCCCTTACCACAACACAAACTAAGCTCGAAATAATGTATTCACGAGAGAGATGCACTGTTATTGTAATAAGTTATCAACTTATTATTTCACTGTTTTGATGATGTAAGAAATATTATATTTTGAGCTGCATTTTTTGAAACCCCGACTACAAATCATCACAATCATATGGACATTTACTATTTTATCACTTGCCTAGATTGAAAAATAAAAACTAAAGAAAGAATTGGATATATATCACTACTTACAGTATTGTGTACATCTCATCCTTGCGGTCGGCTGTCAAAAACTTGGCCATTGATTTAACGTTTGCCTCCAGATGGAATGTATACGTGTTTACGAAAAGAATCGGCTGTTTTAGCTTTTCATGTAACTGTTCATCCTTGATAGGAAACATCCAAGGATCCATCGCAATACACTGTCTGAAAATAAAGAAAGTTTGGCATATTCCTATAAGTAACAACGAACTTGCCGAAACGATGTTAATTTATTATGAAACTTAGCGAGTGCTTTTGATGTGCATATTACTTGAAACTTATCAAATGACCGATGAGTGTTACTTGTTTCTCTACCGTTTTACCACACATAAGCTTTCAAATGTAACTGTTTCTAAAAAGAAAAGCCCAACTTTCAGAACACCCTGTATACATATATACTTTATTCAACACGTTAATCATGGAATCTAAAATTTAACCCTTTTTTTCAAGCTGATAATAAGGATGGATTTTTGTTACTTCTTTTACTCACTTTATCTCACTCCTCAGTGAACATGTGTATATAGCAGTAGCAGCGCCGAACGAGTGACCCATAATAGTCAATGAGTCAATATCTATTTTTCCCATCAAATCTTTCAAATCGAAATTTATTTTGTATTTGGTAGGCACTTCGTTGATAACATTCGAAGGTGCGGTACCTTTATTCAATTCCAGAACGAAATCAATCGCTTTAGAGCATTCTTTTGCTTTGATCTTAATTTGCTGATTTCGCTCTGAATGGTGGTGTTTTCCTAGTGGAACGTGTTTGAAGTGTATTTCCGTTTTCGTGTCGTTTTGTGCAGCTTCCTTGTTGGCATAATGGTATGTGAAGCACGCTGATTGGTCTCTGAAAGAGTATTCTGTCAAACGCTAACGGAAAAATCATGGTGTACAGCTTTCAAGACCGAGATTTTTTGTACGGGTTATAACGACGGCATGGGTAGTACACCACAGAGCCATTGGGTAACGACTTAAAAAAATACCAAAAATTCCCATTCCATACGAAAGGCTATACGTTAACATAAGGCTACCCATTTAGTGAAAAATTAATACACATATGTTTTTTTCAAATGACTTACTTGTGCTCCAAGCATACTACCACGAAGCCATATGACGCCAAATCACAACATAGGGCTGAATACAAGAATCTACAACTTCCTAGTCCATGAGATAGTATAATGCATTTCATTTTATCATCTGTCTTTACTTTCTCCCCATACAGTGCAGGAATGTGGAATCGACCTGTAATAGTGAGATCATTTTACATTATTGTTAGTTTTCACATTGTGGATTCAAGTTAATTACCATACCACCACATTGCAGATCGCAAGAAAAGGTAGGGGATAGTCGTAACATTTGCTAGTCCTTTGAGGTAGCTTTGTTCTGGTATCCATGACATCCACTTTTTGGGGTTATCCTGAAGAATTCCAGATTACAACAGCATTCTGCCTCATGTAAACAGTTTTAAAGGAGAATTCAAAAAAACTAACAAAAAGTATGATTACAGAAACCTCAGTTTTGGAAAATTCACGTTTCAGATTAATTGCAAATACTTGACTGTTTCTCTGTAAAATATATCGATTGTTCTACATTAATTTTTAATCATAATACCAACTTCTTGATTAATGTCTGGTTAAACTAACCTTTTTTTCATTTGTTGGATAATATAGTCTCATAAGTAAGCTCCCTTCTCCATAACCTGTTGACACATCCATCATTCCTGGTATAAACGGACCTGGTAAACGAATCAGAATTAATTTCATACCCCCTGTAATATACAAACCTACAGTATATTGGCGTACGGAACGCAGCCTAGAATAACATTCCCGCGCGCATTTTCGAAATGACGTATGCACAAACCATTTAATTATTGAGGTTAATTTCCTGGATTGTTTTTACTAGTATATTAAATGTTTTGTGGGTTTTACGTTTCTTTTATTGAAAATAGAAATTGATTATATTGGTGTTTGATGTAAATTTATGCAGTTAAAGGTGTTACCTATTATACAAAAAATATTTACCTGTGGCCTGAGGTAAGTGTTTAGGTTCAATTCCAATCGACATGTTTCACCACAAATATGAAAGTGCGCACCTACTAGAAAAAGAAAAACAAAGTGTTACAGTAGTCTCATCTTTAGATTGAACATCTATGCCACTCACACCTTTCTTCAGCACTATTGCTGTGCGTTTCGGACGATATTCACAGCTACTGAACAATTGTCTGCGTAGAGGGGTCAAACTCTGAAAATATGCATACTAATCACACAACCATTATGTTTTGTATGGTGGTTTTTAACACGATCCGTCGTCGCTGTTGCCTGTTTTATAGCTGTACATGATTACCGATTTGCTATTGTAACATATAGCTTTAACCACAAATAAGTTATCAAACTATAAATAAACTGTTGCTGATGCATTCTCTTTTTATATTTATCACTGCAAAATCGGTGACATGATTATTTAAATTTATTGTATTTCTAAAAATCCTTCTGTAACTACAGAAACTTGAAACATCAAGCCATTTGAAAAAGGTTTTAATTGATTTCCAATGTCAACAAATTAAATCCATATAATATGGGTACTCATGTTGTTAAATTCAGAAGTTCATACACCTAATATGCAACAACATCTCTGTGAAAATATTGACTTCAAAGTTTTTGGCCAATGTGATTCTAATTTAATTCTCCAAATTACCAAAATGGTCACTTGTAGATTATATACAATAATGGACAAAAGTATATTAAACAAATTAATATTGTGCTGTATTTCTTTTTTAACTTGTTTTATCAATACACCAACCTGTATACATAAATCGTTATAGCTTAATACTCACTTATACATAAATAAATTCATTAGACTCCCTTCAATAAAAAATTAATTGAAAAAAACTGGAACTAGAAGGACAAAAATATCTAGACAAAGCAAAACAATTATAGAAAAAAGAAGCAAAGTTCATTGAAGTATAGAAAACCAACCATGTTTGTGTTAATATTCTATAGCATAACCATTATCATCAATCACCATCTGGTATCATCTCCATATAGATTGTAGAAGTTTTTTGATATAAGATTCATCAATCTGTCTCCACTTTTGCTCTAAAGCATAAAACAGTTAATCCTTGTTTGAATAATTTTTTTCTAGTATTTGCTTATCTAAGTATTCCCATAGATTTTCAATGGGGTTTATATCGGGAGACTGAATGCCATTTGAGAACTGGTATTTTTTCATATTTCATTGTGATCTGTGCTTCGGGTCATTATCTTGCTGGAAGATTGATCTTAAGGGCATATTGATCTTAAGGGCATATTGTCTTCCATATAGGGTAACATGACATGCTTTAGTAAAAAACTTATCCATAATGCCATCTATTCTATGTAAATGTCCAATTCCAAACCCCGAAAAGCACCCCCAAACCATAACAGGCCTGCCTCCATGTTTGACAGTGGACAAAGTGTACTTGGGGTTCAATCTTTGTCCACTAGGACATCTAACGTAATGAACACCATCTGATCCAAACATATTGAACTTGGATTCGTCACTGAAACATACCCTCTTCCAGTCACAGATGCTCCAATCAAGATGCAACCGTGCAAATCGTAATCGGTCCTTACGGTTTTTCCTCGAGATTAGCGGCTTCTTACTCGGGCGACGTGCAAATAACTTCAAATCATTTCTTCTTCTTCTTCTTTATTCCTTATGGCTTCTGTGAACATGTACAATCCGCCAGCTCTGTATTGTCTCGAATTCACGTGTAGAAATGCTCTAAAATATATCTATATCTTCTGTATTATTTCTAGAGCTGAGATGTTGCTATTTATGATTGATGAACCTTTACTTATGCTTTCTAAAGTGGTGTGGGGAGGTTAGTCAGACAGATAGCACAACACTGGTATAGACTTTTCTCGTACCCAGCCAATGGAGGTACATTACACACACCCTAAATGTTGCCTCAGAAAAGGGTTAGCACCCAGGGTTTTAAAAGATGGGGATGTGAAACAGTTATAATATTATTTTGTTTGTCTGAATGAAGTAGGTTAATAGGTACATATGACTTTCATGTTGATATTTGCAAGTATTAATTGAGTGTTAAAGGGGGCATTGACTCCAGCTTTTCTTATCTCTTCATATAGATTAAATCCTAATATTTGATTTATTGGGCATTCTAATAGTATATGATTTAAATATGCATATTGTCCACAATCACAGAAGGGGTCATCTTCCATTTCTATTTTGAACATGTGAGCTTTATATCTTGCATGTCCCATTCTCATTCTGATTATGGCTGTTAGGTGTCTTCTGCTTATATATGGGATTTTGGAGTAAAATGGTTTGAGCGGGATTTCTTCTTGTATTTTCTTATACCACCTGCCTTTGTTGATGAATGTTCGTTTCCACATTGTTGTGAATTTCTCCTTTATTTTTGTTTTGGCCTTAGTTATTATATCAGGTATGGTAAGTTTCATATCTTGTGGGATTCTGAATTGTCTTCATAAGTTAGCTAGGGTGTCTGCCATTTCATTTCCTCTAATGTTTGAGTGTCCTGGGGTCCAAGCCAGTTCAATATTGTATCCTTTTTCTGCAGCTTCGTGAATTAGCTTTCTTGTTGTGAGGCTGCCATATTCTGAGTTAGCATCCACATCTTGTTTTCCTATTTGTGCTATAGCACTTTGCGAATCTGTTAATATTAGCCTTTTCTGGATTTTCTTTTCTATGACTATGTTGCATGCTTTGTTAATCGCTGCTACTTCCGTCGCGCAGATATTTAAGTAGTCAGGGAGTCTGGATGTGTAGTTATGTTCCAGTTGAGGAATGTGTACTCCATATCCCACTTTACAGTCCACTTTAGATGCGTCAGTGTATACAGGGTGTTTCAGTTTATTGTTGCATAACTTTAAGATTCGATAGAACTTTTAAAATTAATGCATAAAGTCTATACAGGGTGTCCGCAAAGTTGGGGTTTTCCTTTACACGACGTGTAGATCTTGAAAACATAAGCAATTTTTCTTAGTACCATATACACCAATGTCTTAAGGGAACCGAGATAAAGGGCTCTGCAACATCAAAAATATCTAAATACCGTCCTGTAGCCGCGACGTCACCGAGTGGTACAAGGTCACTGGCTCAACCCGACGACAACTGGGTCGGGGTCAGTGTGTCAGGTCAGTATGCAACCTTCAACCGACGGTTACGGTCACGCGTGTAGAGGTAATCGCGTAGACGAGAATCCCTCAACAAGCACTAGAGACGTGGCTAGAGATGTGCAAGTATCAAAAACTAAAGTGTGGCAAACGCTGCGTGAAGAGGGGCCGTATCCGTTTCACGTCCAACGTGTACAAGCCCTTCAACCTGACGATTTTCCAGCAAGAGTGCGGTTTTGTGAGTGGTTGTTGCATCAACATGACAATAATCCGGACTTTTTGAAGTGCATATTGGTGACAGACGAATCTACGTTCACGCGTAATGGGGTGAATAACTTTCGCAAACACTCATGTTTGGTCAGTAGAAAATCCGCACGCTGTCCGTCGGGCACATTTTCAACAAACATTTTCGGTGAATGTTTGGGCTGGCATGGTGAACGATATGCTCATTGGACCATTTATTCTCTCAAATCGATTGGACGGGATGCAATACCTAGACTTTTTACGCAACATTTTGCCTTCCTTGTTAGAAGATGTGCCATTAAGTGTAAGTCAATCAATGTGGTTTCTGCGTCTGCTCGGTAGCGCATCAGCTGATTTCATTTTCTGTTGGAGCGGTATGATTTCGGGCAGAGACGTACTTAGCCCTTCTCGTCAACTGGAGAGTGAGTACTTTTTCCTTTATTTTTTTTACTTGGTCGCCCTCGTTTCACTACACATTACCTTTGTTATTTCAAGGGTAGTTGTTTCTGAAAAGGAAAACCCCAACTTTGCGGACACCCTGTATAAACATGGGTCGAAAAATGCCTGGCTTCCGAAATACAGGGTGTTTCAATTTACTTTCTAAAATAGTTTTTTTCAAGTATTTCGAACAATATTTGATGTATAACAGTGAAAATTGGTATACAAGGGTTTTTTGTTACGACAAAACGAACCATGGGCATAGTTTTACTGTAGCCGCTAGAGGGCGCTCTCTACTGTACCTGTAGTGTATTAAAATGACCGAAAAATTTTTCTTAGTGCAATTTTTTGCTTTTTGAATAAAAAAATGATTCTTCGCACTTTTCAACATAAAAAAGCTCCCTTGTGAGTTTTCGTTTTAGTTAGCCGTTTTTGAGATATTTCGATTTTTAGGGTTCGATGCATTTTTAATTATTTATGGGAAAATAATATATTTTTTTACATTTTCGATTTGGGCATTACAAGTAATTAAGATGATCGTTTAGATTGTGTTTTTAAACACAGCAATAATTCCTAACTCCAAATAAACACAAAAAAACAATATTAATTTGTTTAATTTTCCAATATTATTTTTAACAAATTAAATTAATTATTTACAACTAAAATGCTATTGGATAGTTAGGACAAACATACAAAATCTAAAGTAGTTGCTCGAAATGTAAACCCAATTCTTCAATACACAATTCACATCTACGAATGATCGAACGTGGTATAGCATTATTCAAATAAGGCCTTATTTCATCACATGCATTCCTGATTCTGTCTATTAGCATATCTCTTGTGGTTACGGGAGTCTGGTACACTTTTTCTTTTAGAAATCCCCACACAAAGAAATCTAATGGATTTAGGTCAGGGGATCGTGGAGGCCAGGCGACTGGTCCTCCACGGCCGATCCATCTTTCTGGATAATTTTCGTCCAGCCAGTTTCTAACTATTCTCGAATAATGAGCTGGACAACCATCAAGCTGGAACCAGGCCAATCTTCTTAAATCTAACATAACATCATCCCACATATTTGCATGTTCAGCCTTTAAAAATTCCAAGAAGGTCGCAGCATTTAACCTTGCAGGCAAAAGGTAAGGTCCAAATAGTCGATTACGGTAGATACCAATCCACACGTTCACACTAAATGCATGCTGAAAATTTCTTTCCCGAACTGCATGAGGATTTTCATGCAACCAAATATGTTGATTATGAAAATTTACCACTCAACGTCTAGTGAAGCATGACTCATCGGTCCATAAAACGTTACTTAAAAACTCCCTATTATTATCAGTTCTATCAAGAATCCACTGACAAAATGTGATTCTTCGTTCTCCGTCCCCTGGCTGTAGTCCTTGCACAGGTTGCAAATGGTAAGGACGTCTATGGTCATTTCTAAGAACACGGTGAACATGGCTTGCTGAAATTCCCAAGGCACCAGAAACTCTCCTAGCACTTGTGGTCGGATCTCTATCAAACTCACGCAGAATCATACGGGTAAATCTGCGCTGACGAACATTTATGTTTTGATCCCTATGGAGATTTCCAAAACCATTTTCAATTATTTGGCGATGCACTCTTAGAAATACTGAGCGAGTTGGATGTCGTCTGTTTGGAAATCTTCGTGCGTATTCTCTGGCTGCTTCTGCTGCGTTTCCATTTATAAAGCCATACACAAAATGAATATCTGTTAACTCTTAATTGGAGAATAAAAATGGCATTTTTATAAAACTTACAAAAAAGAAACATGTAAAACTAACTAAATTTCGTGCATTCACAATTGCAAAAAAACGTTTCAGGTTTCAACAGACAATAAAACTAACTGTCAACTAATTGACGTTTAACCTTATTCTGCTTTCAAGAGAGCTATTTTATGTTGAAAAGTGCGAAGAATCAGTTTTTTTATTCAAAAAGTAAAAAATTGCACTAAGAAAAAAATTTCGG